GGGGTAGAGCTTTGTGACGTCATATTTGAGGGGGGGGTCTGACATTTTGTGACGCCGTGTGACGAGGGGGGGGGGGATTAAAAAAATCGTCCAAAATCGCGTGACGTCATTTATGCTCAAGTGGCCTGGGCGAGTGGCCTAGAGAAATAGGGGGTGTCCACTTCGATGACTCAAATCTAATTGGGCCAAGACGCGCTACAACAGACTCGCAGAAATTTCCCAAACCGCGGATGCTGGCCTTCAGCTTCTCTCTCTCTCTTACAATCTGCAGTCGGTTTGCTGGCGGTTATCGCGGATCGGCATCTTGTTACAGGAGTCATTTTTTTTTTTAAATGCGTTCTAAAACAATGTGTTCAAGGGCTCTTTGCGCGATCCATCAATCGTCTCGTTTTACACGATGCTACAAAAAGGAGTTTGCATGCCAACTGTCGGGGCAGACACATCACCAGGAAAAAAATGACAACACATTCATTGATAACCCTTTTATGAACAGGGGATGTATATGTTGATATATTTATATACTAGGCGACGTTGCGGGAAACGTCACCTTCACGTGCGACGGAGAAGGGGCTATTGCTCGAAACCTCGCCAATTATAAATATACCTTCTGCTGTTGTGGCTTTTTCGGGCAGTCTTGTTGACAAATGCGTCGAGTTTTCATTGGGCGTGCTTGTGCACCGCCGCCAATGCAGCAGTTTAACACGGTAATGCGTTGAAAGGGAGAAGGCAAGGTTTTATTCATATTATTAACAATCAATGAATCAACAAATTAACCTTATGGCAGGACCCCGGGGTCCCATAAGCCCCCAGCTCTCGCATAAATATTATATTGTCAACAAAAACCTTGCTCTTTTTCACCAAGCTATTGACATCATAATTGAAAAACGTGACTTTACTAAACAACTGTTGCCACGTGAACACGCCCGAGAGTTTTGCATATTTAAAACACGGCTGCCATCGCAGAAATCCGCAATACTACACGATAAAATTTACATTTATTTCGGTGGTTAAACGAGGCTGGTGTGGAGTGAGCGAATGGAAGTGCAACGTTGAGCGCACTGTGCCATGAACCCAGAACACCAGGGTTCAATTTCCGGCCACGGCTAACGTCGGTGGTGACTGAAATCTGAACCGGATCTGGGTCCCCACCCCCCTCCTCCATTTACCGGACCACACTGACCAGTGTGATGAAGTATTGTCAAACAGCTCCCATAACCATCACAGCATTGAAAGGCCTTTAACAATCAATGAATCAACAAATTAACCTTGTGGCGGGACCCCTGGGTCCCATAAGCCCCCAGCTCTCGCATAAATATTATATTGTCAACAAAAACGTTGCTCTTTTTCACCAATGGGTTTGAAGGATGGTGGCAAGTGTTGTCTTGTTAAAGTATGCCTTTTAATCTGAAAACTACTTACCTGCAGTACCTCTATTTAAACACACTATCGAAAAAAATATTGACACCCCTCTGTCAATCATCATGTTGCTCAGTGTGGATTTGTGAACACACTTTGTAAACAGTACATAAAATAGTACGCGTTTTCAATGCGGTGTTCATATTGTCACAAGCGTTTATACCAATGTTACTCTACAGAGTAGTGGGTCGCCGCTCCTCTTATCCGCATTGATACGAGCGGGATGTGGAGACTATGGCTTTACCGCAAAAAAAAAACTATCTGCACAGATGCATACGGACAAGAGAAGAATTTGCAAACAGGAGGAATTAACGGTGCAACGCATCTCATCTGTTAAATATCTCCAGGTAATAGGATTGTCATCGATTTATCCTGGCTGCAGACATTGGTAGGTCACAAATAATAATGACGAGAGCAGTTTAATCTGTATTATGCATACCGTTATGACAAAAAGGACTTAAGTGGTGTAGGCAGTTTGAGCAGTTTTGGATAAGACTCATGATCCCTGCCCGTACCCGAGCATGGAGCGCATTCGCTTGTTCAGCTCTTCTGCGCATTCGTCCTCGCTGCTGCGCTTGGACGACGTGACAACGGAATGATCCGCACCAGGTGAGTCGCGGCGTTTATGTGCGTGGTGGGACGGAGTCGCCAAAAATAAAATCTTTAATCCATTACGATTTTGACTTCCGTTTATTCGGAACCCCGGGGTACCGCCAGCAGGTTCAAATGACTGTAGGCCATTATTATTATTATTACTGTATGACTATATTCAATCATCCAGATCCACGTTTTATTGAATGACCATGTACCCATGTATTTATATAATAGAGAAACTGTGGTCCAGGAATAAAGGGGAAAAAAACTGTGTTAATGTTATTTGTCACACAATGATATCATCTTCCTAAATCGGTGACTCAATAAACACACGGGGGATTCCCCAAAGCTCACTGTCCGCAAACTTACTTGGGACCTTTTCTGGCAACTAATGAAGCCACGGTGAAACCTTTAAAAAAACTTAAACGGTAAAGGTGCAGCACTGCCATTGTTGGTTCACGCCACACTTGGCAGAAGGGCCTCAAACCAGTGACAGCTCGAGATAATCTGGTGTACCCCACCAGAGGCTAATAAACGATATTTCACCAGGTAAGGCCCCATTGAGCTACGCAGTGCTTCATATTCTTGGTTCTTTCGGTAAAGTCACGTTGAAGGGAAACAATAAAATAATAAAATATATAAAAAACAAGAAAAATTCTCACGACGTTTCGACTGCAACACCTGATGATGACTGCTTATATAATATAATATATTTTATTATTTTATTGTTTCCCTTCAACGTGACTTTACCGAAAGAACCAAGAATATGAATCACTGCAGTCACGAATGCTTTAAATCAAAATCTACGTAGTGCTTTTTCAGAAGCGACCTGGCCACAAATGATAGCTTAACAAAGTGGCCAATCATTTGGACATTTATAGCACCAAAATAATCAAAATAATCTCAATGTCCAGTAGGGGCGGGTGAGAAAGTTAAAACAAACAATAAACAAAAAAACGATAGGGGTGCAAAGTGTAGGAAAGGTAAGCAAATCACGAAAAATAAATGAACTAAAACAAAGCTATTTTATTATTTTACCAGGTAAGGCCCCGCTGAGCTACGTAGCTCTTTTTCAGAAGCGACCTTGTCACGCATCTTAGCTCAACGAAGTGGCTTATCACGTGGACATTTATCGCAGCCAAATACTCCAAATGCAAGTTTCTAAATGTGGAGGGAAAAACCGGTGGACCCGGAGAAAAATCCACCCGACAACGGGGAGAGAGAGAGAGACACGCAGACCACAAATATACAACAGACGTCAGGGTCGGAATTGAACCCATGACCGGGCAAGGGAGTTTACATCTCGCCACCGTGGCGCCCTCACCTACTCCTCTTCCATGCTGGCTAGCCGTCTGGGATGCAGATGTGGAAGTTTCCACACTCTACCCCACCACACGTGAGCTACCAGATTGACTAACTGTGGTGCGAAACCGTGCAGGATGGTGAACGCTATACCACGGCCAGGAATAATTGTTTACGCGACTTGGAAACTTCACACAAATGAGCACAGCCGTTACTGACTTTTCGACAGGGTGGCGCTCTCATTTTTATTGATGTCCGCGGGATGGGTAGGCCGCGTTGAGCCCTGACGGCCCCACCTCTGAACTCACAACCTTCTCATCGCGACGCCGATAAATGACGCGGCCTCGTTCCGGGAAAGGAGCGCGGTGTGGAACGGTGGTGTCACAGAGAGGCAAGATTGACTAAGAATGAGAATTATTCTCTTTGCTTTGGCCAAGCGAGACTCGAACATTCCTTTTTTTTAAGGTGGATCCTGCATTGGGATGTATGACCAAATCCAACGATGAGCATTGTGCACGTGGGAAGAACCTGTCGTGACCCAGAAAAAAGCCACGCATGCAAGGGGATAACAAATCAAATCCGCGCGCAGATCCATTGAAGAACCCACTTGCTGCACTGCTAATTCCTGGCCACGACACAGCGCAGCAGGTTTTTGGGAGTTCCACAAATGTCTGCGTCATCCACCAACCCCTGCCTCCATGCCCGCCTTTACGTGTGCAATTTATTAGGATTTACACTCACAAGGTAGGACAATGCCCGGGTAGGAAGTTACGTGTGTATCCGACGCCGAAGCAACCGTGAGCGTGTACAACAATGCATCTTGTGCGCCATTTTTTGGAGGGGCACCAAGATGGGCTGCTACGGCCTCGAGTGTGAGACTCGCATGGCAAACGGTTGTATTTAATTGCCAGATTATTTCGCAGACTAAATATTTTGATTCCCCCTCAGGAGTGCAGCGCGGGGGGTGTTATCGTTCTCGCCGTGCTGCCGTGCGTTTGTGCACAAGGGGTGAATGAAAACAGTTTGTTGCTGAAAATCAATAACAAAGTGAAAATAGAAACGGCAATAACCAGCAGAATTTACACAGCAGCAATGAAGAGGTGATCACGTCTCAATGCGCTTCACGAAGAGGAGATGAAATACAAATATAAACATTTTTGGTTGGATGTATGTTGGGCTTCTTTCGCACCGTACGTAGCCAACTCTGTTAACCAGAGGTGTGGGGGAAGGCTAACAAAATAGACACAAAAAAGCAGTTCTCGAGAAATGACTTTTCAATCGAGATATAAAAGTGCATAGCTCCGGTGGCTTCCTTATAATTCCAGACGGCCGCAGAAGTGGATCTGAAAGTGCGCGATGCGGTAAAACGTCTTTGTTCGAAAACAAAGGAGGGGTGGCTGGAACCCATTGACCATTATATTTTACTTTTTTCCGTTCTAAGGCACCGAATCTACTGAGATCCGTATTTGAATTGCGTTGCGGACGCACACTGAGGTGCTCTAAATCCAGAGTGCCAGAGTTGCAACTGCGGAGAGAGCCGACAGCCGAGGCACCGTTTGGTGCCTCCCCACGAGCACTGTGGTTTCGGGACGCATGCCAAATAAACGCGGTGGTGGTGGTGGTGGCGACAACAACGATGTCATTGTATTTATTGTACGTTAATGAATGCGGCCCAAGCACCGGCTCACCTGCGGGGATGTCCAACGGCACGGTGAGGAAGCAGGCATCGGTGCCGATCTCAGGTGACTGCGTCGCTGGAGAGTCATCGGCGCCGGCCGCCTTCAACTCGTTGCACTCCGGAGGGACCCTGCCACACATTTCAACCCGTGAGTCCGTCAGCTCCGTTCATTCTCAAGTGCTCGGGACGAGACGACGATTTTGCGTCGGTTGTTGCTGCTGTTGTTTCGCTTTCCTCTCTGGTTAGTGCCAGCCCGATTGTGCATCGCGTGACACACGGAGATTTAATCCTGCCCTCTTCAGTCTTCCAAAGCGTGCCTGGCAAGGGGGCGGGTGGCGGAAGTCCGGATCTGCGTGTGCTCCAAGATAGTTCTGGTTATTTAATTCATTTTGTAAAGAATTAATAAAATGAAGGAAAAATGTACGCCCGCAAATCGAAGCACACCGGCGGTGGCTTCTTGCAGCAATTTCCTGAGCTGGGGTTGTGGCCGACGCGTTCGCATGCGAGTGTGTGCGTGTGTACGTGGGCCAGTGCCAGCGAGAACGCGTGTGTGCATGCGTGCATCCTGCTTTGCCATGAACTGTATTTGCAAACAAACGGGAGCGTTTGTGCATTTGCGTGTACGTGCCTTTGTAATTCTTCATCCGAGTTCATGTTTGCGAACCGCCCGTTAAGGTCTGGCTAAGCACGCGAGTAGGCGGCGGGGTTGACACTACGCCCAGCTAAGTGGTTCTGCTAGTGAGTGTGCAGGCGGTGCAACTGCACCGAGTCTCTTGGGCTGGAAATGTGCAGGCGCCAGGCATATGAAGAGGATGGAAATTTGTCAGGCACCCCCTCCGCCCCATTTAATTATTCGCACCAGGACCACTATCAATCACACTACGCCACGATGCACACACACTAGGTACCGTGCCACTTTGGGCTGAGTGAAACTAACAAAAGCCTAGGCCAAGCTTACACACTAAATTTCCACCGATGGGGTACAGCTGTGTGTACTCCATGTGTGCGTAATGAAGCGGTTAGCGTGCTGCGCTTCGAACCTGGCCACCCAGGTTCGATTCCCGCTCACAGCCAACACCAGTGAGGATTATCTGAACCGGTCCTGGGTCTCCCCTACGTCGACTCAGCCTCAAATCAGTATCTGGTGCGGTGCGTAAAAACATCGCCACTGGGGGGACAAAGGCAACTGGGCGTGGTGCTGGCCACCCACCCCCTCGTGTGCCATGTCGGCATTCATTGGTACGGTGGAGTGAGGTGGAGCGATACTAACACACGGAAAAGCGGTACAGTGGGGAAGCACATGTGGTGCATCTGCCAGTCATCTCGGTCACTTCAGAAAATAAACTGGATTAAGCTTCGATCACGCAAACTCGCGTCTGGTCTGCTCTGCACCGCTAAAAACGCTCTCGCGTTTGTGCAAACTAAATAATGAAGGGTCAAGCAGGTGGGGGCACGGAAGAGTGCGGCTACGAGACGTGTTGGCCAAGTCGGGAAGGCACGACACGGGCGTAAACACGTCCAGGCGTGGCGTGGACGCTGCCGCAACCCCTGCTCGCTACGTCGCGACCAGCTGAGCCGCATCTTGCTCTGGTTTCAAGATCGGCGCTTCACACAGCTGCAGCCGCCTCCGTCTTCACGGGGTTTCTTACCTACGAATCGCTCCACCGAGAGGTTGTCGTTCACGGCACACTGCTGCTGCCCTCGTGGACCAGGTCCGCCGGTGATCAAGTCTACTTGCCAGTGGCGACGCTAAGGCAAAAAGCAAACTAAGCGAAAGCCAAAGGGCACCAGGTCTCGCAAAGAAAGAGGCCACGGGTTGGTGAAAAAATAGGGAAGATCTAAACCCCCGTATCAGCTCGAAACTAGGATCTTAAAAAAAACAGAAACAGCTCAGCATTCTCATAACACTACTAAGATATTGCTCAATTAAAGTACTTTATGCAACAGTTTTATAACCAACTCATGTAGCATTTCCGGAATATAATGTTTCTAATTTACACGACTCAACAACAAAAAATGTTGATGCTTCGGGCCTCCAAAGGGCAAATAACCTCCGCTGCCTACTGCTAATCAAGTCTGCTTGTTAGCCCTGGACAAGATCAAGATCTGCCCGCCCGGGTGACGAGCGGTGCGCCGAGGGTTCTTCAAGAAGGACCCCGATGACGTACGAGTCAACAACCACGGCTACTGCCATACCCCTTCACGATTCCCAACAAAAAATTCAAACATAGTTTTTTTTTATTGACTCTTCCCATCTATGCTACTCCCACCCTCTCCTGCCCCCGTTCCACTCTCTGGCCCTTCCTACCCCGCTGCGAGCTTCTCATTTCCTTCTCGTACGTATTTGAAGAAGTTCAACGCACACACGTTACATTCCGCTCGATTACCCCGGAGTGCCTCACCGAGTCTCGAGGCTGCTCTTCAAGAGGGTCCTGCCAAGCGCCCTCAGTGGCGTGGTGGCAATGATCGCTACGCGTTTCCCGATTAATTTACAGTACTTGGGAAACAAACAATTTCAAAGCATCCTGAGACAGAGCCAGTCCACCGACTCCATCTGTGCATTGAACCCAATCCCTGCGCTTGTCACCCGCTGGCCGCCTTTGCAGCTGCAGAAAATGGAATTACGCAAAAAAAAGGGGAACGCACTCCAACTTTACTCGGACCTTGGATACGCTGCACTTTCCCTACAAATAACGACCGCTGCGCCAGGCTTCTCGTCTCCTGTACCACGCACGGTGCCAAAAGGCCTCGGGTGTTTCCAGCCACGTGCAGCAGCGCCTCTGCGGGCGAGTTGCTTTGAATTCAAACATCTGGCTGTGCTGTCGACAGCCCAAGTGCTAAGTCGTAGAGACGTAGACCAAAGTTGAATAAGAGTGCATCCATTCCTTTTTTTGTGAAGTCAGATCTTACGCACACGGCACCACACACTCGTTACACGCAAAGCGCTCGCCACAAGTGAACCACAATGCCTTTGCTGATCTCGGCAAGGAGCGTAAATCATCATCACGCGATCTCCGCTCATCCTCGCATCGGCTTTTGGCTGGCCGTCGAACAAAGACGGTCACTGCACCGCACGCCGCCTTCAGATGTACTTCTGCGGCCGCCTGGAACGCTCTTCCTTCCGATAATAGGTCACTGGAGCTACGCACTTTTAAATCTGGATTTAAAACTACGGTAATTTCTTCAGAACTGCTTTTTGTGTTTAGTTTATTGCCCTTCCCCCACACCTCCGACTGGCACGGTTGGCTACTTACGTTGTGAAAGAAGCTGAACATTTATACACACGCGTGCGGTCAATAGATTATAATCGATCCGTATTCGTTGTGCGTGCGAAGTAGTGCTCGATGACGGCCAGCGTTCGATACGAATGGTGGAGCAGCAGGCAAAGGGTTGAAAGCACCCGAGTGGTGAATGGAGTGATGAAACCAGAGATTAGGCGGATCTCTGCGTAGCGAGACTGCTGCCAAATGGTGACCTCTTAGGGAGGCCTTCATCCAACAGTGGAATTGTCATGGGCGACGATGAGGACGACTTGATGCTATTAGGTCATGTTGACCCCCTGCAGCCACTAGAGGCGCTACGTCCACCACAATCTGGTTCTTGGCTTAGAAAGAATCTGTTTCTTGACTTAGTGACTCTGAATTGTGACAACGAATGAAATCGCAGAGGGCGACGGTGGGACGTGAATTGTTGGAGATTGAATAATTGGTTATGGGCAACGATGCTGCTGCTGACAACACTGTGTAACAAAAAATAGTTTTTTTGTCCCTGGGTAGTAAGTGTTATTTTCTAATTGCGTATGCCTCAAAAGTACAGCAAATGGCTATTATTCCCCACAAACTTTGCTTTTGTGACCAGGACAGTGAGATTTTGAAATGTACCTATTTTCAATGAGAAAACGTGGTGTGCATTTGTGTCATTCCTTCACATAAAGTCCTGGTCGCAAAAGAAAAGTGTGTGGGGAATAATAATAATAGCAATTTTCTATACTTTTGAGGCATAAGCAATGAGAAAATAACACTTTACTACCCAGGGACAAAAATCGTGTTACAAAGTGGAATCAATGATGGAGGTTGACGACGGCTCCAACGTTTGAATCGTCCATCACCCCTTCAGAGACGACCAATGAAGGGACTCGCAATCCTCAACCAGTTTAACACCAAAGGCTTTCGCGACCAATATTATTGATAATAAAGGGGGTTTTTTGGGTTACGCGATCTAACCCACAGAACCTTTATGATGAATCCTCAACCACCGACGGCAGCCATTGAGTTTGCCGAGATATCGTCGGGGGGGAAACATGTTGCTGGTAATGGTCGTTACACTAAATCGACGGTCTGATCTCAAAACGGAAGCATTATTTTTTTTGTTGTCGAGTAGAGACGATAATATTTACACGCGACATAGCCGAGAGGATGATTTGCACGGTTCTGCAGCCGAAGCACAAACAACTCATTCGGGGTATTCGACGAGCAGCGGCGGAGAGATGAAGTGGGACGAGCGGAGGGGCCTCCGTAAATATCAAAAAAATCCAAGCCAGTCGATTCACTTGATCATTTCCTGACCTTGATGTCCCGAAATATCGCTTCATCCTGTGCGCGGTGACCTTAAAGTTTAAAGCATCGCCGTTTACTCTCGGCCTTCCTGTTTGGCGGTTGGCTCGAAGGAAATGTAAAAAAAAAGGAGCGCTCCGCCTCTTTAATCTGCGATTGTTTTGGCTGGGACGAGGTGCATTGATGCCACACCCACGACAAACTCCAGACGGGCTACGTTTTGGCAAGTGCGCATCTTCCTTTGGTGACTTTTTTAACGCTTTCCAACAAGGGTTGAAAGCATTAGCGTCGTCATGTACGCGCGTCCGTCCGTCGGGTCCATGAGTGGGGTCACGAAAAGTCGTAATGATGGTCCAATACAAATTAACAATAAAACTCAACAGCACACACAGAGAAGTAGGCCTTCTCTGGCCTCTGCAGGCGCTGTGAAGAAGGGTCATTGCCAAAAACGTCGTCTATTACAGACTCTCATTTTTTTAAGGCCACTGTTTATTGACGAACGTGCTGAGTGGTTCTTGTGCTGGCGATGTGAATTCATTTCTATTTTGACGTCGTGTTGCTATTAGGTGCCGACGC